GAAAGATCACATTACATACTGAGTTAAAGTTCGAAAATCATTTGTGTCATTTTCCCAAAACAATAAACACATCGAATCTTGGACGGTGATTCGACCGCAGACGCGAAACGTTGAAGGTGGGATGCTTCTTTCTTGAGTCTTGACAAGAAACGCTAGAAATAAAGTAGTTACTATCAAATCAACTCGTAATTGAATATTGCAACATCTTTTGAATGGGATTGAGTCCAAAACTAAGAGAGCATTGGCCAACCCTCACCGATGGCCGTTGCGGTCGACAGCTCTCGCAGGAGAAGTCGAAACGGTGGGCGCACCCGTTAAACACCCCCAACCATATGCAATCTCTCTCTTTCTCCCCTCTGGTCCGTTTTGCTTTTTTTTTTTTTGGCATTGTTAGTTCTCCATTTTCCTTTTAATCTTTTTTTGATGTGGTGTTCGCATGACGCCGCATCGGCGCCACTTTTCCTCAAAAAATATTAATAATGCCACTTTGGACATACATCAAATTATCAATGGAGGTGTTGGACAAAACTGTTATGAAAGATATATATATATATATATATATATATATATATATATATATATATCACAAATACAAATTCGAGATTATTGTGACATAAAAAAATTATTTAGATATTAGTGTTATAGTGAGTATAATCTAACATTGATAATCAAGTTGATCATGCTGACCTACGACCTGCTGCATGCAAAAAATTCCTATTCCTTTCGAGTGCATGCGAACATGCTCTCTTCCTAGGAGTCAAATGTCTTCTCCACTGCTTTCTGTATCATGCGCCGTTAGGTGGGCCTGAAGCTCCAATCTAGGGCAAAGACAGGAAGCAAAATTGAGTTCTTTTTAAAAGGGAGAATACCCATATTGCTTATTTGTTTTTTTTTCTTTATTCGTTTGGCGGATATAAAGTGGTTGAGCAAATGGGATATTGCCGCACTAATAGATAAAGTATGGGATTAAGAAAGTCATGGTCATAAATTAACAAAACAAAAGAAGAGACGACACTTTCTAAAATATGCAGTTTAACCGAGGTCGACCCACAACCAATATAAGTATAGCCAAAGAACAAAAGAGTACAGTGCTCATCATTATTTGTGTCCGCGCAAGCGACAAATTAAAGTACCTTTTTATTATTCGTGTATTTTTAATGTAGTGAAAGCTTCATATAAGCGTGGATGTGCATAATTATATTAATGGGGAATGAGAGGATTATGGCACGAGCTTCTTCTCTCTCGCAAAATTTGGACATAAATTCTAAGAAGAGAATAAAAAACTGATCCTAGGATGATAAAAGTGGTCCAAGTTATTGAGGTGAGGGTCTTTCCAGCCCACCCACCTATACAGAAAAGTTTACAGGTGGGCCTGAAAGACCTTCGCCTATAAACTTAGTAATGGAATGTTTAGCAAAGAAAGGGGAAAAGTATAAAAAATTCCTAAACCTATTGCATTGTACCAATTTAATCATAAATTTTTTAGTTGGAATAATTTAGTCCTAAACATTTTCACATTGATACCAATTCAGTCCATTCGATCAATTTAGGTTGGAAATTGCTGACGTGGATGTCACCTGTCCTACATGGTACTGCCAGTGGATGGCTGGTGGTGACGTGGAGATTTTTAATAATATTTTATTAATTTAAAAAAGATCCCTTTTTTTGCTTTTTTTTTTTTTTCTCTTCTCTTTTCTTTGGCCTGTCGTCGGTTTCGACCATGATCGATGACCGGCCACAAGCGAGGGCCGGCAAGGGCATCGTGGCCCTTGCCAAGGCCGCGAGGGTCCAGCCCCTGCCAATGCCCACAGGCCAAAGGAAAGAGAAGGAAAAAAAGAAAGGAAAAAAAATTAATAAAAATATTAAAATATTATTAAAAATATCCTCGTTAGCGTCGGTAGTCGCCGGCCATGCCACTTAGGACAGCCGGCTTCCACATCAGTAACGTTTTACTTAAATTGGCCGGATGAACTGAATTGGTACTAGTATAAAAATGTTTATGACTAAATTGGTAAAATTAAAAGGTTTATGATTGAATTGGTATCAATGTAAAATGTTTAAAACTTTTTTTTTGGTGCTTTTCCCTCAAAGAAAGTATCTCACCCATTAACCTAAGACATTAGTCCCGAATCCCCATGTCTTTGCTGCCTTTTGGGCTTGCTTTCAAATGGGTTCAGTCCACACTGTCTTGACTTAAAGCCCATAGATCTGTTTTCTTTTCCTTGTTTAGGCGATGAGCCCATTGCGCTAACTTTGTTGAAATAAAAAATGCTTTCGCCAAAGATGTTGACTCAATCTCATAGTACAATGAGTTTTTCATTCTAGCTATAAAACTAATAATATAATTCTTATTTTGTTGTCGGTACTAGGATGTTAACACGGCATCGTGTAAATCTAGCGATGAAAAATATAATATATATTGCTTATGAAGGAGGTTGTTTGAATAAAACCATCATTTTTATAGCTTTTGCAAGTCGCAACCGCTTGCCAAGCTAGGCTAACCAGGAAATTCACCTTTGAATTTTGACTTCAGTTTCGCTCTCTGCCATACCATCCAAGTTTCTCTGCCATCACTAACCCTAATTTACAAAGCATCGCCATTGTTATTATTGCTATATTTTAGGAGAAAACTTGATGTCCGGTTAGAGACTTTGAATTAGTTGCGACCTAAAAATCTTGCTATTATTGAATCTTTTCTACTGAATTAATGAATTTTAAATTGTGCAAGGGGAAAAAAACAAATTCACCCATTCAAAATTCAAAGTCCAATAGTTTTTTTTGGTCGGTCGAAAAATTCAGAGTCCAATTAATATAAGTGTGGAAAAAATACCATACTTTTGTTGAAGTCAGAATATGCCAAGGATTGGAACCCCATCTCTTCTTATTACGAGATTATCCCATTCCAATTCCAATTCAAAACCCCACTTAATTAAGATAATAAGAGTCAATACAACGAAAGAAGAATAAAGAGCATGTTACTTAGCGCTTTCTTTAGCCGATCATAATGGGGAGGCGCTTTTCCCCTTTTCTATTCTAAAATGCATGAATGGACCAACTTAATCGCTATGCTTTTAAATAGTAGCAGATGTGTGCATTATCTTACTCTAACTTCAAAGGCATACAAAAACATCATCTTAACAAAGGAGGGGAGTGAGATCCTACCATGGTCAAATAAAAGAGATAATAGTTAAAAGGTTGAATTTCAATTTGAAGGGTATTTTGGTGAACTATCTATAGACGGATGGTTTTAGTAATAAATAGGGTGGAAATAACAGCTACCTAATTATATCAATAGGGTATGAGAGAATTATAGCAAGAATGATTTTAGGACAATATAAGTGGGCCGAGTTATTCAGATAAGGGTCTTTAAGGCCCATAGATGGACCATGTAATGGAATGGTTGTGAGAGAAAGTATTTCACCCTTTAAGACCCAAGACTTTTTAGTTAGTCCCCTTGTCTCTGCTGCTTTTTGGGCTTGCTTTGAAACAGGCTTTAGTCCACAAACATGTTTTTTCTTTTATTTTACAAAAAGTCCATAGACCTATTTTTCTTTCTCTTGCTTGGTCCAAGAGCCCATGCACTTAGTTTGTTGTCAGCTTAGATTGGAACCCTTCTTGTTCCCCATTACTTCCAAGATAATCCTTGAAAGTCATGGCTCGAATGAAAGCATTCTCTCCTCGACCCAATTTCTGGCTAGATTTTTCTATTTTTATTCCTTAAACAAATTTTTGAGCAGAAAATAGCATTTGCCAATGATACAAAATTTATATTCCCGAAATATAAATTCGTTTGATATGTTATTCGTAAATTTCTGTTCCGGGCAACAACGGGTGGGTGGCGGTGGGTGGCCAGTCAGCAGCGGTAGTGGGAGGCAGCTGCGGGAGGTAGGCAGCAAGGGCGAGCGATAAGAAGAGTTATTATTTCTGTTTCTGTTCTAGAAATAGAAAAGTAACAAAAAAACAAAAAAGTAACAAAAATCTATTTTTCATTTCTATTTCAAACGTCTTTTTGAGCTAAAAATTTATCCCGGAAGTCAAAAAATGAAGTTGCGTTGCCAGATGAATTTCTGTTCTAAACCTTTTTTTCGGGATCAGAAAAATTAAAAAGTAGGGAAATAAAATAGTTATCATTCATGCCCTCAATGTCTATCGCGTAAAACCACACATAGTTGCCAGAATTTGGTGTATCTAGGCGGCGGCGCCCCCCTGCCCTCCGGAATTTCGGTGAAGGGTTATCATTTATTTTAATCACCTCGACTTTTGGATCAACGTTTCCTTTTTCCCCCTAAAAATTCTCGGTCCACTGTTGGAATAAAATGTTTTCGCCAAGGGTATTGCCGCATTTTCACGGCACAATGAGTTTTTTATTCCATCGCTAAAACTAGCGGGCACGAAGTCATTTTTGTTGACAGTAGTCCAATATCAACACACGCACCGTTTATGAATTTAAAATTGCGCAATCAAGAAAAAAAACTATACCACTCATTCAAAATTCGGAGTCCAATAGAAGTGCGGAAGAAATACCGTACTTTTGCTGAAGTCAAATATGCCTAAGATTGGAATCCCATCCTTTCTTATTACGAGAGCATCCTATTCCAATTCCTATTCAATAACTCCAACTTTAATTAAGATAATAAGAGTCAATACAAGGAAAGAAGAGTAAAGAGCATGTTACGAAACACTTTCTTTAGCCGATCATAATAATGGAGAGGCTCTTTTCGCCTTTTCTATTCTAACGTGTGCACGAATGGAACATGATGACTTAAATCGCCGTGCTTTTACATATTAGCCGATGTGTGCATTATCTTTACTCTTAACTTTCAAAGGCATACAAAGTTAAAATTCAGCTCCCAGATGCCGCCCATCCATGCGCGCGCGCATTCACCTTTCACCTACAAACGCATTGAAACACAAGCCGGACCGCACTATAAAAAGCAAATACAGATACAATCACAAACCACTCCATAAAGTTGGGCACGACACCTTTGGAAGCACTCCCTATGGCAGCAGCTTCCACCTGCATGACAAATTGCATCGCTGACGGCGACACCAGGTTCGCTGCCCGGGCAGGGCCGAGGTACGTGAGCCTTCGCAAGGGGCCGGAACTGGACAGCCATCTTTTTCCAGGGGCGCACGGGTGGCGGTCGCACCCCAGAGTGGTGGATGGTATATCTTGCAGGCAGATGTACCTGAGGAGCTACACCTTCTCCAGGAAAGAGAGCGTGCCCGAGAGGACCAAGAAGTGCTTGGGAAGAGTCAAGCAGAGAGTGTTGCGTGGGAAATTGGTGGTCCAGAGGGCTAAAGAAGTGTCTTGCTCGGCTTTCTTGGCGATATTTCAACGCCTTCTCTCTTGTACGGCCAAAATCGATGTTGCTGATTATCATCTCTCCCAGAGAGACTACTGAGCATATCTGACTGTTTCTCTTCACCTTGAATCTTTTGCTTTTCTGTTTTTCTGGGTGTCAAGCGCTTCATACGGGGTGAATCGTGTATCATATCTATTATATGATGGTGGGTCGAGTGCAAAGATCAGTGCAGAAAGGTGGAAGCTGTGAGAGGATGATCAGTGTTATTTGCTATGAATTTCTTACTCTTTCCTATTTTCTGGAAGAGGAAGTTCGTTTTTGTGAACTTGTTGTTTCTTAAGATTAATTCGTAGGCGTTGTTTCATTTTCGTCTCTAGTTTTGAGTCTGAATGTGTTTGAAGGCAAGAGAGCAGTACCACTATTTCCAATATTCAACGGGGAAAGCAAGATATGACCTATTGACCTTGCAAGAGTAGAAAACTTATAAATATGTACTCAAAGTCGGCTAGATTGCATCCAACGACAACACTTAATTTCGCAAACCAATTCTCAAGTCTAATTCAAACAGGAGGATGAAGAGAGAGGACTGCTATGGATCATGCTTTCGTTTGAGCATTGTGAGTTTCGATATAAATGTAAACATCGCATAATTTTAATGGAGGACCTATGTAAAGTTAGGTGATCCTAAAACCACACATCTTCTTACCTTCAAGAATAAATCACTATTTGTCACGACCAAGTTCTCAGAGAAGATGCTCTCACAATTTGACTTGTACACTTTCGAGTATTAGGACAAGCATTAGAAAGGTTAGGAAAAAAAGTTGAGACTCATCACCCGGACTTCGGTTGAGAAACATTGCCACATGAGTATGCCAAGGATGGTAAACTCACATTAGGAAAAGTGCTTTATCTTTCATTAAGGTATTGGAGTGAAACAGTGTCCATCAATCACCATTTGAGGAAGTGAACTGTCAAATGATCATCGTGAAACCCTAAGAGAGCATAATCAAGCAACTTTTTCATGAGCATTCACTACTCCTCGAGACCAGCAAGTAGAAACATTATGAAAGGCTAAAGCTCTAGCCCACACATTTCACTGAAGTAAAAAAGAAGTTCAGCTACAAAGGTGGGACATAGCTCCATGAACGTGTTGGGGAAAAAATCAAGCAATCGATAAAAAAGAATAGAACCAGATTTTGAGGTACGATAAAACTCCCTTTAAGAAATTATTTGCCTCATAACGTTGTTAATGGTTACGAACAACAATCCTTTAGGATATAACAACGTCTCGGAATGAGGATATTAAAGAGTAATTCTGGTATTTCTCCAAGAACTCTCAAAAGGGAAACAATTAGAAAAAATGTTGTATGTCTCTTGAAAGAAATGAGAATGGAAGTTAAAAGTATTGAACATAAATGTTGAACACACAATAGCATATAAATATGTTTGAACGAATACAACATTTCAAAGATTAAAAAGATACGTCGGAACAAACATAACCTTTTAAAGGTTAAGAAATTATATCCAAACAGACACAATCTTCCAAAAGTTGTAAAAGCACTTAATAACCATTAGGCAAAAATAATAAAATTCGAAATTAAATATTAAAAAAATAATCTTAACTCTATAGCGAACAATCACACTATTTCAATAAGACATAAATGTTATTTTTTAATTAAAATTTTAATGAATAACGCGTATTTATATCTTTTCGATATAAGATAAGGCACCTCTTCGTTTGTTTTACTAACCAACTGCCAACAGAAAGCTCGTGCCTGGAGTAATTAATTAATTAATCCTGATGAGAGCAAGAGAGGTGGGTAGTTGTAAGTTGGGAGGGGTAGGCTGAAGGTGGGATCATCACTTTGGTTCCTGTCTCAGCTTTCGTGCGTCATTATCATTTGACTAATGTTTCTCTTGACAGAAACTTGCGCGCAGGAACGACGACGAACAAGACAAGCATCGTTATAAAACGAATCGAACACATGTACACAGAAACTTATGCACATGCCATGACATGAGACACGAGGCTGTGATGGGTGTATCGACCCTGAGCTTCTCATTTCCGGTCTTAAACCTTATTAATTATTATGTAGTAATGTTCAATAGGTCCGTGAAGTGGGTGGATGTTATCGCTACCCCTACCAGCAATTAGCTCCCATGCAGTTGCTTTAACTAATTAATCTTTAATTAATTGATTGATTGACTGATTGATTAGTTAACATGATGATGAAATCATTCCACTTAAAGCAGGTGTAATTTGTCGACCAAATTCAAAGGCTTTTCAAGTCTGGCCAAACTGATCTTGCTGAATCCTACCCGAACCAACTTTTATTCTGTGCGCATGAGATACGACTCAAGGTAGGGTATGTAATTAAGGCTAGATTACCGGTGAGGATGTATTATCTGTGTGTTTGAGCTGGTACTGGTAGACATCAATTTGGATAGAAATTTCGACAGACAGGATAAGTTGACCTTAGCTTAAGAATACTTATTCGTTTATTGTCCGTCGAAACCAAATTTAAAATTCCACGGATAGTACCGTTTGGATATGAACTATGAAGCATATCATAGCAGGAATCCAAGGAAAACCACGTCCATGAGTGATTGCCGCGATTAAACCTGTCAAACTTGTGATAGACATAAGTTCATCCCATAATAAAATCTGGGTTTGATGTAATATTAGTGGCTCTAATGGAATCATTAGAAATGGTATGGATTAACAAGAGCAGATCCAAGCTACAGCACTTTCTTAAGGCCTTGGTCGACTTCGCATACAGTCTTGGAGGTCAAGTGATGGCGCAACTTCTGCATTTTGAGTAATCGAGCTTACAGACTGCTTAATATTAAGTCAAGTGAATTCAAGGGCCAATCCAATCAGGGCACAAGTTGGCTGCAAATCATCTATTGATTCTTTCACTGTGTATTTGTACATTCGATCACACACCTCTTTAAGGTCTTTGAAGGTCCACAACCTCACGTCGTCCTCGATCTGAGGTCGGGGACCTCAAAGTCCCTCCATGACAGGAAACTAAGAGGGTGATCATGCGTGCGGGAAGGAAGAGATGGCTGAGAACGATTTTGGTGGTGGTTGAGACAATGAAGGCGGGCGGCCATGAGGCTTTCCATGGTGGCTGTATCAAGTTGTCCGCAGAGAGAAAGAGCGAGTGTGGGGCTCTGCTTCTGCATTTGTGAAAGAGAAATGCCGGAGGAAGAAGATGGGATCAAACCACACGTCTGCAAGCGTAGGATAGTTTGAACTATCCACCAATGAAAATGTGGGCAGCAGCCAACGATAGTCTCCAGCTAATCTGTGCCCCTCCAATTATTAAACATCTTCAACATCATGATCCAGAACTGAGGCGAGTAACTGATCAACTTATTGACAAAATGACAAGGCATTGTGAAGATAAGACTACCTAAAAGCAAAACTCGAGCAGCATCCAAGAATCCTCCTGTTGTACATCTAACTGCTTCATTACATATTTAAGCACCAAGGGTTCATGTGCACAAATGCAGCAGAAACATGAATTTACAAAATCAATGTCACTTGCGACAGGCAACGATAAAATCTCGGATTCACAATTCAAACCCAGCCAATCAATTCAAAGAAAGGTGAAATAAATGAACATATAAACATTCCTGTGAAGTGTGAACACGGAAAGGAACAAGTAAACATTACAAGAAAACGATTCAGATTCAACAGCTTTTATCAGTAATCAGATTCATCACTATCATTTACCTAAAACACACCGGTATTCTTTCTGTTCAAAGTCAGGTCCGTCCATAAGCAAACTCCATCAAGTGAGACATCAATGACACATGAAACTAGGTGGGTTCCTCCTTTTCTCCTGATCCCTTGACTCAACCAAAGTCGCATTGCGGCACCCCCAAATGTTCCATTTGTATAAAGCGGCAGCAGCACTAGCAAACCAAACTTATAGATGAAACTACTAAAAGTGAATCCTGCCTTATCATGGTTGGTTGGAGAAAGAATCAGAACAAGAGGTGAGCAAGATGAATGTTTCAGTCATCTACCCTCAGAGTTCACAAGCTGCGAGAACACTTTACTCATCGAGACGTCGTTGACACTAGATAGTTCAAACTGCGCAGTGGAAATTGTCGGATCGGCATTGCTGAAATTGTGGACTTGAGGAGATAGCTCACCGATCATGTTAGTACTGTTTTCTTCAGGGTCACCTTGCACAACCGCCTCTTGAAGTTGAAGGGCATATTCCAGATTCCACAGCACATCTCCCATTGAAGGCCGATCAACCCCGAAGTCGGCCAAGCATTTCTCAGCCGTTTCCCCAAACTTCCGAAGAGAATCAGGTCTGATATTACCGACAAGAGTAGGGTCTATGATCTGATCCAATTGCCCTTTCTTTTGCCACTTCATTGCCCACTCCGCCAAGTTCACCTTTTCCCTAGGGAGTGATGGATCAATAACGGGTCTTGCACAAAGGACTTCGAGTAAGACTACCCCAAATGAATACACATCCGATTTTTCGGTAAGTTGTTGCCTTCTGAAGTATTCCGGATCAAGGTATCCGAAACTCCCTTTCACTGCTGTACTTACATGGGTCTGATCAATTTCTGGCCCTGTCTTGGAAAGCCCAAAATCAGCAACTTTTGCCATGAGGTTCTCATCAAGCAAAATATTTGCAGACTTCACATCGCGATGGATGACTGCTTTTGCATAGCCAGTGTGAAGATAGTGGAGCCCTCTAGCAGAACCAATGCATATCTCAAGCCTCTGCTTCCATCTCAGGTTAGGAAGGCCAGAGCCATAAAGATGGCTCTTCAGTGTGCCGTTCTCCATGTATTCATAAATCAAAATCATCTCATTCTTTTCATCACAATACCCAATCAAAGAAACCAGATGGCGGTGGCGAAACTGTGAAAGCATCTCGATTTCAGTTTGGAACTCCGCAAGTCCCTGCTGGGACCGAGGATTACCCCTCTTAACAGCTACTTTTGTTCCATCATTCAATTCTCCCCGGTACACTTTTCCAAAACCGCCAATACCAATGACCCAACTCTCATCAAAGTTGTTCGTGGCCTCTTGAACAGCCACAAAGGGAAAGCGATACCCAAGATTGGAAGCAGCGCTAAGGGTTGTTCCATTAGAGTATTTACTCCCCATGGTGTGAGAAGTGCATCCATTAGTGGATAATGGAATCCATGTCTTGGAAAGCCCCTGCTTTGCAAGTCGTTGTCGCCTTCTCCGGCACCACAAAAAGAGAACTCCAGCCAAAAGTGTTGCAGTAAACGCCCCAATAGTTATACCGACTATGACACCAACATTTTTGCCAGAGCCGGAACCTGAAGATATTGCCGCCGCCGCCCCTTCGAGGCTTCCATCAGAATTGTTCATCTTCATGATCTCTAACCCATTCAAAATGGCATTGGGGTAAGCGCCATTTGCCGTAAATGGACCAACACTTACACGAAGCTTATTGCTTACTGACACCCCTGAAACTAGATCGTAGAAATAGGGAACAGCCAAATTGAACAAGAGGCTACTCAAATCAAGGTCACTAACAACAACAGATGAGTCAAGATAGACATTGAAGTAGAGCTGGTTAAGCAATGGGCTCACTATATCACAGAAGTGAAAGCGAATAAGGTGTCTAAATCCAACATCTATATCAAACTCCCAGGTGACATTGAAATTGCTGTTAGGATCACTTCCCGAGTTCATCTCAGTTGCAGTGCCATAGACTGAAGCGGGAGCAGTATCTTGCGTCGGCCCACCTGATACATATTTAACTGCTCCAATGTTCGACTTATTTGTCGCCAGATTAGGTTGGACCAGAAAATTATAGTCGGGATCCCAATTTCTCCAGAGAGTATCATTCGTAGCAGAAACTTTTGGTCCACCCATGTTCAATCTCCAGACTGTCTGAAGAGCCTGCGATAAGAGACCTTGAAACTTCCCTGAAGGAAGAGTATTGGCATCATCCTGAATTAAAGTGTCGGGCAAGGAGACAACTTCAATTGCATTCAGAAATGCAAATGAGTTATTGGAGGCGGTAAAGGTGACAACAAGGTTACTCGACGTTACGTTCAGGGAAAACTCTTTCATGACGCTGCCACTGGCGCTAAAATTACTGAGGAGAGCAAAGTTTTGGGCCGAAACAGAAAAACTAGCAGTGCTCATCTTGTAAGATTGGTAATCGAAAGGAGAGAAATAGAGCCGAATCCAGTGCCTACCACCCTGGCTGATGGGAAATGTGTATCTTGTGGAACCGGTAAAGACTCTAGCGGTTTGATAGAGCTGGGAGACATCAGAAGAATTAAGAGAGTTCGATGCACTGGCCAGAACATTTTGCGGGGTGGAAAGGAACTTTGAGGCTAGGTTATCGGCGAGAAAAACGCGGGTACCTACACTGGTATTGCTTGAGGATCCACAATCTATAAGGTAATTATCTGGAGGAGAATACCCATTAGAAGACCAAGCCAAACACAAGATTGACAAAGCCCACCAAAACAATAAGCTTCTGTTGCACTTCATCTACGTATTTAAGCTAAGGAGCTCAGCAATCAAGCTATCTTTGAGCTAGGCAAAGCTCAAATCTTGATTTCTCACACAGGAAGAAGTGAACGACAGGGGGAGTACAGGGGTCGAATCACAAAGGGCAAGCACTCACGATCATGAACTAACCGAAAAACAGTACAAAGATAGCAACTTCAAGATCTTATCTCGAAGATATGAGATTTGGAAAGAAGAAAAAGAGCAACCGATCCCAATCAGGCACACGATCGAGATCAAAACCCTATTGACAGAGCTCAACAGGAAACGTTAAAGATGGCACCTTTATAGCAGATGCAGCACCAATACAGAGAGAGAGAGAGAGAGAAACCGTACAAGCCCAGCTTGAAATGGCACATCAGACGAACACGGTGGGAAGGTTGAAGAGTTCCCAGATACCCAAACAAGACTTTAAGAGGCATCAAACAGATTTGCAGAGAGAGAGACCACCCAAAATTGCCAGGCACTAGCCGGTTTGTACTCGGTGACAACCCAAGAGAAAGGACAGATTCCTAGATTTGTTTATACTTTATATCATCAAAGAAAGAAAGAGAAAGAAAAGCAATATAGAGGAAAAACTTTAAACAAGTGGGAGTCAAAAGGGGTTGGAGTTGGAGCAACAATATTCTTAAAAAAACCAAAACATGAGAGCAACCCAGCTAGAGGTTCAGCATTCGGTGGAGAGCTGACCTCGTCTTAAATGAAACCGGCGCTTCATGTTAATGGAGACGGCAGAGATATTTCTTCAAAGGGTGATGGGGATTGGAGAAGAAGAAAAGAGTTACATAAGAATTTACTTCTCTCGAATCACGCATGATAACAGTTGTGACTGTTACTGCCGTTTTTTGGAGTACGTTAGGTAAAGAGTTTCTTTCTAATTCTGCGCGGTTTAACCTTCCGTGGATTGAGTGCTATCTATCTTTTCTCACTTCCCGCGAATCATGTGACGTTTCTTTGCTCTCTTTTTTCGGGTTTAATTCTTTAATCTATTCATGACTTGTCGTGCCGGCAAAACGGATTCTCGAATTATAAGCTGCGATAATCACGAGCTTGAAAGGTTTCATAATCAACGGATAATATTTGCCTTGTTTCTTTATATCATTTCCTTCCACTAACACTATAATCAATATCACGATTAACAAAAAAATACGGCAAATTTTAAAATATTTATGGAGAAAGAAAATGAAAAGGGTACGCTATTTTCTCATCTTGTTTATCCCTCGTTCCCGTACAAAGTAGAAGCACTTGGATTAATCATTTCCTTCCGCTAATACTATATTCAAATATTCAAGAAATAAATCAAGTTAATATATGGAAATGGAGTATCGGAGAATTTCTTTTTTATCATTTTGCAGTGCGTTCCTTATTTTCACGTGTCGACGCTCTCACGCTTTGTACCCTCAATTCTCCATGTTTATTTGTCTTCCTTAAAGAGAGGGAATACCCTCTAAAAATTTTGCATCCAGATAGACAAGGACGTGGATGAAGCTTTTTAATGACTTGTTTAGGTTCGAGGATTAGAGATTTTCTGTTCAATCATTTTGCAGTCAATACGAGAGAAAGCAAGCCAACGAGGTTCAGCCATCATGGTTATCAGTGAATCAATTGACCTCACCTCAGTCATTGAAACCCCAGAAACACCCATTAACAACATTAGCTTAAAGATTGACGAGTCCTAGGTCGTCTCTCCCTTCAAAACGAACGAGGACAATAACAAGCAGGTACTTCTAGTGCCGGTCGTTCTAAATTATTTATCTTATATTAATGGTGCGATAGCAACACTAGCTGGCAAATGGAAGCACCGTGACCTTTTCCACGCATAGCTTGATTGTTGGGTGGGACATCGTGGGGCATTCAACATCGAAAACTCTATTAAAAACCTTAGTGTCCACATCTTCATGGTTGTTGAGGGAAAATGCCATGAAGTGGAATCAATGTTCATCTTTTTTTCCTTACGCAACTGTCGCTCCCGACTAGTAAACTAGCGGAGGATTCTTTCTTCAATCACATCACGAGGTCCGGTAAACGGGTAAAGTATTGTCGTGTTTTCATCGTATCTATTCAACGTCGTTCTTCTTTTTACAAAGGATAAATACGGGATTTATGCTCTTAACGAGAGGATATACGAGGATATCATCATTTCCGATAAGAGCCCGGCATTTGTAGAGGGGGTGCGATAAATAGTCAAGATTCGAGGTTTCGCTTTCGAAGCGCCTTCCATTCTGGTGCCGCAACATAAACCTCGTCATAACCACGTCCAGAAACAATCAGCTCCATAAATCAAGGAAACAGAACGAAAAGGGTCTCCAAATTGACAGAGAAAGGCTGGGACCGCTAGTGTTTTTTCCGTATGAACGGAGAATTTACTTTGTGCATAATCAAAGCTTTCTTTCGACATCTAATGCATGCCGTCAATTGTGATAGGATTGACCGAGTGCTCTAACTAGAAAACAAACAGGTATCGTTGGAGCGACGACGCGTGAGGAAGATTTGGCCCCGTTTGTTATGCTGGCAAATCCGCCGTCTAATCAGGGAATTTACGACAGGAAAACAGAGATGGTGGAGATTGTTGTCGCCACGGGGGAATGTGTTAGCATTCTCCATTCAAAGGGTTTGCATTTTTCTTTTTCTTTTTTGGGTTCAAAGAAGAAGAAATCCCGCGTTTACGTAGATAAATCTTATATGGGTTTTTTTTTAAATAGCGTCGTTAGGGCACTTATTAAGTTAATTAGAAGTGAGGATAATCAATACTTTTCACGACACTTTGAAAATGGAAGAATGGTGCGTTTTAATAAAGTTACTTTAAATAGCAAAATTAAGGTTTGTAAAGCACATTAAACAAGAATTAACAAGTGTCAAAAGGCAATTCTTTGACATTTTTCATTCTAAATTTATGTAATTCCTCACCATCCTCGTTACCTCGACACAAATTCTACCAATTCCTTCCGGCCTTACTCAAATAGGGAGTGGGGGTAGACTGCAGAGGTTCTCCCAATAATGAAAACGTGTATCGTGCCTTTGAATTTGAATAAGTTCGGCAGCGGACCACGAAATCTTGGCGATCTTCTATCTCAAAAAGTGAATCACTAATCTACACTTGATGGTGTGAAATCGATCTCTTGTTATGTGCCTCATCAAACCCGGCAAGCAAATCACTTAGACTTCTTTTTTTTTTTGCTCTTGTCCATTTTTAATTTTGAGAAATGAGGAGAAAATCCTAGCCAAATATACTTTCAAATTCAAAATATAATTATCATTTCAGGAAATATTGCTATAGTTTCTTTTTTGTTTTCTTCTCCATGCTTCCCATTAGAGTTGGCATGCAGAAAAGGCTTCCGGTTCTTCAATCAACTCAAGTCACACAAGACAATTCAGCACGAAATTTCTAACATCAGGATTCGTAAAAGATTAATGTGATTTAAAATGAAACACTAGTCGAAGGCCCGTGCAATCCGCCGGCATCATCTCCAAAATGTATAATTAATTAAAACTATAATTAAGACCGTATACTAAAATATATAATGAGATAAACATAGTAAAATTCATCTTACTTTGTCAAGCACATCATCACGAGGTTAGTATTTTGTAAATATGATATAGAACAACCTTAGAACGTATATCAATGAATCTTTCGAAAATTTAATAAGCTAAAGCATAATTCGTTAATATCTCATATTTAAAAATCAAATTACTAAGATCCCCTTAGGGAGCAGGAAAATGGAAAGCAGTAAGAAAAATATTGCTCGGAAATAACCATTTTTATATTTTGTCATGACTTTAGCTAATTTGAGATCATACCAACCGCGACTCCACTTATGCCTACCGCTTATGCCACGTGTCCGGACACGATCCTCACATTCCGAGATCCTAGGGTCGTGGCCTAATTGTCTCTATTTTTTTTTTCTCTCCACGTGGACAACATCGCAATTGGCCAATGTCTAATACGTAAACCTGGTTAAACCCATTTTGGTCACAATTTGGTAATTTAAACATAGGAAAATACCATAAAAAATCTAAAACTATGTCCATTGTAACACAAATACCTCAATTTTTTTTATATCACAAAAAATCATAAACTTGCCCACTGTGACATAAATACCCTCAACATTTTTTGTGTCGTGAAAAAAATATATACCCTCTATTTCAATTCCATCCAAAGCATACTTGTCATACTAGTATAAGTTCGAGATTTTTTATGACAAAAAAAAAGTTTGGAATATTTGTGTCATAATGGATAACTTTAGGGTTTTTAATGATACAAAATAAAGTTCGGAGTATTTATATTACAGTAAGCACAATTTACGATTTGTTATAGTATTAATCCTAACAAGAAGAGCACCTTCGGACAAAACATAGCAAAAGAGAAAAAGCTCAATTCACTTATGTGCTGAAAACTCGCCAAATTCAATTTAGTTCCTACCCGTCATGTCTAAATCATTTTGTGAACTCTTTATACGTCTATTGGGAATCGTGACGTTATAGTTCTCCGTCCATAATTTGTCTTGGGAAAAGATGATTGCGATAGTGCTGTGGGGGGAGAGAGAAAGAGAGAGAGGGGGGTAGGTGCGCGTGGGTCCCGCGCGTGGGGCCCAATGGAGAAGAGGGAACGACACACGAACCGACACGAAAGGCTGGGCGAAACCGACGCCGGGAGGTCGATTACCATTTTGCCACCGATGGTTCCTGCGGGCCTGTCCTGGGCCTCGTGGGGTCACAATCGGGGGAGAGCCCAATGGGCCGATGTATGGGCCTGGCGAGTCCCGTGCTTGGTGAGCCCGAAAGCAACCTGAGGGGGGCGATCTTGGCGTCTCTCCCTCCTGGAATTCTGAGCCGGTCACAACAATCATCGAAATGCACATGCCTTCTTGGATCTCATCCTTCTTTTTTTTTTCAGTTTCTCTTAGAAGTTAGGAAAGTTGCACATGAACCAGGTTCGTTGGGTTAGATCGGACCTCCATTATATATGGCTTTGGGCGTGACGTGTCCAGCAGTAATGAAGACACCAACTCTTCAGCTTCGGGAGGAAAATTATCCAAAAAGTCAAACTTGTTGTTCGGTCGCGAATTCAGTCATAAATCTTTTAATTTTTTATCAATTTAGTCCTAAATCTTTTGAAAATTTGCCAATTTAGACTGGGTTTGGTTCAACTTTGTAAATGAGCATTGGAGAAATGCAAATGCCTCTGGATTAAATTCCTTTGGGGAAATGCAAATTGCGTTTGATAAAAAAAATCATTTGTAAAGCTACCTTGGCCTAAATAGCGCTTGGCAAATTTTTTTTTTGTAAAGGGCTTTTGAGTTTAATTTTTATTTTTTTTAATTAAAAAAAAACCCTTCGCCGGCTCCAGCGAAGGGCTAAGGCCGCCAGCGGGCTAGATTTGGCGCCGGCGTCCGTTGCCAAGGTAGCGCGACCTTAGGTGACCATCACTTGGGCAGTCGCTTGACCTCGCCGGCTCAATCTAGCCTCGTTGGCCCTCACCGGCCGCCCTCAGTGAAGGTCATTTTAGAGAATTGGTGAGAGTAGTTTTAGAAGAAGAAAACTAGTTTCAATATTCGGCCATCCCTACCAGCATTCAGCTTTCCCAAGGCTAGCATTTGACCGAAAAAGCCCCTTGGAAAAGTTGAACCAAATGCACCATTAGTCCTAAACTTTTCAAGTATGCCAATTTGACCATAAATCTTTTGACGATTTGCC